CACACTTCATCCTACTCCAATTAATAAATCGCAAACCGCAATCATGGTTGAAAAGGTTATGCAACTGAGATGCGAGTGCAACCAGTACCCGTGGGGAAAGCAGGGCTCAAAGTCGCTGGCGGCGACTTTGTGCGAGAAGACTCCAGGCACACAATTCAAGATTGACGAGAACACAAGTTACGCTGAGATGTAAGTTTTCGAACTACATTGTCGAATGCAATCTAACATGCCCAGGTGGATGGGCACATATCCCGAATTGCCTTCATATGTATTAGAGACTGGCGAGGACCTTCAAAAAGTGCTCGACAGACACCCTGATGAGCTCGTGGGAAAGACCACTGCCGAGAAGTTCAACCACACCAAGCTGCCATATCTGCCCAAGGTCCTGTCGATAGCGAAGGCCCTACCGCTGCAACTGCACCCAGTATGTTCGTCTCTACATCGATCTGTTCCACAATTAACACAGTATCAGAACAAAGACTTGGCTTCCAAGTTACACGCAAAGAACCCGGATCAGTTCACCGACCCCAACCACAAGCCAGAGATCGCGTTGGCTCTTGGCGACTTCGAGGCCTTCTGTGGCTTCAAGCAGCTGAAAGACATCGAGCGTTTGATGCAGCTACCACCACTCCAAGCCTTCCTTCCAGAGGTCAAGAAGCCTGAGTTCGATGACCAAACTCTGAAGCACGTTGTCAAGGAAATGCTGTTGGCGTCTGAGGATGCTGTACGCAAAACCAACGACGCACTCATGAAGCTTCCAAAGGAGCAATTCGGCGAACACAGCTACATCCCAGACATGATCCCTCGCTTGGCTGAGCAGTACGACAAGGCCGACAACGGAACCCTTGTTGCTCTCATCACCATGAACTACCTCCAGCTCAAGGCTGGCGACAGCATCTACATCCCCGCCGACGGCATCCACGCGTATCTCTCCGGTGATATCATCGAGTGCATGGCCCGATCAAACAACGTCTTGAACACTGGTTTCTGCCCACGCGCCGATCGCGACAACATCGACATGTTCTGCTCAAGTTTGACATTCACACCACATGACGCCAAGGAGGCGATCCTACCAGCAAAGCCTTTCGATGGAAGCAAGAACGGCAAGACGCAGCTGTACGCGCCACCTCTGAGCGAATTCAGCATGCTAGCCACGACCATGGGCGATGGCGATTCCGAGACGATCCGGTCGCTCGGTGGACCAAGTGTCATGATCGTGACCGAAGGCGAGGGAACCATGAAGGGCAACGGCAAGGAATACAAGCTAAGCGCCGGCTACATCTTCTTTGTCGCTCCAGGTGTAGAGCTAGAGTTCAAGGCCACCAAGCCGCTCAAGGCGTTTACCGCTTTCGTAGAGTAGATCGACACATGTACGTACCTGACAATGAGGCTCAACCTCGCGGAGGTGGCTAGCGGCCGATTGGGCGGACTAGAGCTTCCCCGCACCTTTCACGTGCGCGTGCCATCAGCACTACGCATGTACTTTGGCTGTGTAGTTGTATAGCCAGAAAGCTTATAAGTCGAGAGCGGAACATACTCGGATCCGCACGCGCGTGTACTGGTGATCTCCACATGTATCCTTGTTTCCCCGCACTTGATGGCAGGTACCCCTCTGTAGCTGGGGATAGCTATAAAACCCCGCAATGGAGCTCATGCCTGCTCGTAGGATCAGATTCGTTCCTCTTTGGTTGCTTCTTGATCAATTGAGTTGACATTTGACATTGTTGAGCTTGCGAATCGCGTTCAGCGGCCTGAAGTTTGCCAACATCATCGCCAACTTGAATCGCAGCACTCGTTCAGCTACTGAAACCAGGTAAGCAGCAGAAGCAAAAGCAAAAGCAATGCTATTTGAAGATATCCCAACATAATGTCGCGAAGTCTGTTCAATATAACTAACACCAAACCAAGCCCTTTCAACCCCCCAAATCCGAACATGGCAACCACCGCCCCAATCCCAGCCGAAAAGCGCGACTCAATGGAAGCCACCGCCAACACGCTCGCCACCAAGATGAAAGCCGCCTCGCTCGCCGAAACACCCCGAAAGCGGCCTCTCGGTCTAACCGACCTCCCCCCATCCGTCCGCAACAACATCTACAAGCACTGTCTCGACACCGAACTTGTGAACCACGGCGCACCCAACGTGTCCTACACGCACACCATCTCCAAAGACGAAGGCATCTTGACCTTCTCCGCGTCACGCAACCCCTTCCCCGTGAACACAGCGCTGTTCCTTGTGAACAAGGAGATAAGCAAAGATTCGCTGTCGTATTTCTATGAGAAGAATCTCTGGGTCAGATTCGATGTTTACACAAGCGACGCACGGCACGCGAAGACGTTGCTTGAGGACTCTGGGCTGCTTTTCTCAACGGCGAAGAGTGAGGTCGTGGAGAAGAGTACGCGCCACGCCCTTGAGATCGTGCTCGTGGAGAAGAACAGTGCGCAGAAACGCGCTTCTGTCATGTTTCCAGCCCAATACCTCCCCCGGCTTATCAACTTCCTCGACCAAGCCAGCCGCGCAACAAAGACATGGGCTCAAGGGCGTAGTCTCTTCCTCAATGTAGTAAACACGTATGGATTCCCCGTGTCAAAACTACAAGGAGACCTGCTCGAGCTGTTCCGTCTGATGAGCGGCTTCGGCAAGGTGGAAGTTGATGGCCAGAATCTGCTTCCGCGGTACGCGGAGGGTCTGCAGAACAATATGATGGGCGAGGAGTTTACGGCAGAGGCATATATGGCCAGTGTACATGAACTAGCTGATCTAGCGGATGAAGCGAGGGAGAAGGAAGAGTACGCGCTTGCGAATGAGTATGCTCAAGCTACCATCATCGCACTGACGTACGGATACCTGACGCATGCCGAAACACTTCATTCCCAAGAGGAGGACTTCAACAAGTCCATGCAACGACTACGTTGGAAGACAGAACTGGGACTCGGTATCAGTCTTTCCATTCCACTTCGCAGCCTCACATCAACGAAGCACTGGTTGCGAACCTCGAACCCAACAGACGAAATCAGAAAAGCAGCAAAAGATCTACTCCAAGCCGAGAAATCAGTCTCCCAGGCGCTTAGTTTGGCATGCGACGCTCCCTCCCCCACCTCAAACCCTTGGTTTCATTCCATCCCCGTGGAGCTGATCCCACCCAACAAACCCTCTTTCTTCACCGACCGCGAGAGGGCGCAGACGTGGTATGTGCTGGGTACTGTGCATATGGCTTTGGGCGAGTATATCTTTGCTTGCGGCGACATGGAGAGGGCGTTGGAGTTGTGGGGTAAGGATAGCGGGATCGATGAGGAGGGCGGGTTGAGGTCGAAGATGGAGGCGTCGTTTGAGAAGGCGAGGAAGGGGATTGATGGGGATGCTGAGAGTATGTGGGTTGGGGATGTGAGACCGGGGACTGGGTTGAAGACGGCGGCGAAGTTGGCTAGGGGGTTGTGAGGTGTGGGGTTCTTGGTGTTGGGGTCTCTGTATCAGTGGATAGCGTGTTTCGTGATACAATCTTCCGGAGTTTGTACTACGAAACATGCTATCCACTGTTACAGAGACCTCAAGCACTGATGTGTATGCTTTGAAGTCGTTGCATGCATTCAGTGATTGAACGCCATGAAGAGCAACAGATACACGACAACGAATGCTTGTGTTGTCGTTCAAATCCATAGCCATCCCCAGAAATAAATTTGCATCAAGCTCGTGCTGACCTTCTCCCAGCGGGCACGCTGGTGGCGCTAGACCTTTGTCGTGCTCATCACGAGTAAGGGGATAGACTGAGATACTCAGGTAGCCACAGTCCTCGCTTGTATGCGGAGTTCCCGCTTGTTCTGCGCTGGCGCGCTTGGTGCGTGGAGGGGTTTTTAAGCCTTGTATACAGGTGACTTAGTGTTGATTCCAACGCATCTATGCAGCCACTGTATAGCTTGTTACCATTCAAACAGACCTCGGGAGCATGAGGTTGCGAGGATGCGATATTGACGTGGGTTCTGTTTGACATCGATTTGAGCCTTGCGTCTATCTTCGTCTTGTGGCTTGCTACTGCCTTCCCAAGGTCGTGGTACCGAATGCTTTTCCCGTGATCGTTCGTGGGCGCACGCGGCGGTGACCGGCGGGAGACGAGACCACCATGGCAAACAGCAGTTAGACCCAACAACGCACACTCTTCTCCGGTGTTTCCGTCGATGGCCTAGATGTCGCTTTGCCAGTTAGTGTACATTTGTCGTGGGGAAGCCTGGGCCCAGCGAGGCTGGAGAGGCAGTAGGCTCGGACCTTTTCTTTTAGTTCAGGCACGAGCCGCCTTGAGGCGCCAGCAAGCCACCAATAAAGGTAGCGATCCTCGCTTACCTCAATGTGTACACTTTCACCAGGGGAAAGAACTTAGTTTCACCTCCCTTGTGCTGTATCGGGTTGAACAACGAAGAGGTAGTGCCAAAGTGAGGAAGGCTTCGGCAAGACTCTCACGGCGCACGTGGTGAGATGCCGCCGCTAACTTCGCTCACGCCCGAGTCCCCAGACAATCCTCCCAAGATCTCGGATTCATCGAGCGACATCTCGTCTCCCACGAGACTGCTGGATTCCGCATTCACTCTAGTCATGGCAAGCCCAAGTACCCATCTTACCCGATTGGGGACCTCTTTTCGGCCCTGCACTTCGAGGCCATGTCCAGCTATCGTTGGTCTGCGCTTGGCATCCTCGCCTATGTACACACTTTTACCATCACGCGAGTTTAGTCCCTTGTCCAATCTGCACATTCGAACGGGCTGAAAGTATCTGGGGACGAGGCTCGTCGAACTCAGCTCACCATGATACTTCGAGACCAACGCCACAGATCTATCGCATCGGCAGCTCCGCTGGAGTGTGTTGTGAACCTCCAACATGAATAGCTATAAGAGTCATAAGTATCCAGGTACAGAGGAAGTCATCAGCAGCAATCGCCGACATCCTCTCCTCAGCCTTCTACTTCTCCCCTTCGTTCAAGATGCGTTCGGTTCACGCTTTCGCGGCTTTGGCCATGACAGGCTGCGCAGCAGCTCTGCCTCAATCGATTCCTCTCAGTGAGGTCGCTGAGATACCCGCCGCACCAATCACCGAGACTCCTCTTGGTGAGGGTGCTGGTACCAAGGTCGTTCCGTATTCTCCTGATGCTGTGGTTGCCGACACCTTTGCCTCAGTCCTCGCGGATCCTGCCTCTGCCGACAAGTCACTCAAGCGGAGAGGTTGGGACTGCTCAGAACAGCCTCTTGGAAAAGGACCAGTCCCAAGCCCCGACTCTCCGGAAGCTTTCCTTGCTATGGAGGAGATCTCGAAGGCTGCTACTGATGCCTCCACGCCGGCTGGCTATGTTAGCAAGTTCAAGAACTTGAAGGGCAGCAACAACGCCGTGGCATACCTTGGATACAAGACCCTGGACACATACGACACTCAAGCCTGTGCCGACTCTTGCACTGAGAAGGAAGGATGCTCAGCGTTCAACATCTGTAAGTATTACTCCTCGAAGTATTACCTAGTCATCTCTTACTAACAATGTATACAGTCTACGAGAGGGACCCTTCTGTAGTTCCCGCCGATTCCTGCTCCAACCCCGCTAGCACTACAGTCATCAAGTGTGTACTGTGGGGCAGCCCTGTGACCGCCGAAACAGCTGTCAATAGTGGACAGTGGCGCGCAGATTTCCACGTAGTCATTGCTGGATCGAACGGTATGTCCATGAACCTTGAGCATGGTTGAACCGCAGACTTACTAACAGATTTTAGGCTATGACAGCGAGCGTGTCGTATCTGTAGACGGCTACAGCGGCGAGTCTCTTGGAAACGTTGCCATCAACGCTCCAAACGACTGCAACGGTGACGATACTGTAAGTATCTTATATCTACCTCATCCACCAACAATCGCTAACTTCAGTCTAGTACATGGGCTACAAGCTCTTCAACGACGGTCAACCCTTCGAACCCGCCCGTTGCGCCGCCGCATGCGAAGCCGAGACAAAATGGAACGTCGAGCACCTCAACAGCCGCATGCTATGCAAGTTCTTCAACACCTACGTCCTGATGAAGAACGGCGAGCCCCAAGGCCAATACTGCTCTATGTACACCCAGAAATGGGCGAAGAGCGTGGCTGTCAACGATGGCCAGTACCGCGGAGATGACCACTACACGATTGCTTCCAGCTACTCCTACTCCAACACCGCCGACCCTGGAAAGCCTAAGCTGCCCTGCGATGTCGCCGCCGCCAAGTCTGCCATCATTGCTTCGTCGCTACAGCCATTCTGCTCTACTCTTCTTGGATACACGACGCAGGTTTCGACTGTGATCGCTACTGTAACTGCCACTGTTCCCGCTACGACTGTTGTTATCACCGATGCGCCTGTGACCACGACCACCACAACGGTCACTCAAGCTCCCCAAAAGCGCGAGGTTGCCGTTCAGGATACGCCTGCCGCTCTTGCCGACTTTGCTCCCAGTGCTGTCTCTGTAGCCTGCAGCCACCAAGCTACTCCTGTCACAGAAACCACTACGACGTCTACTACGACCACCGCGACCGTTAGCTCCGGCACTGTACTAGTCACTACTACTCTGCCTGTCCGCACTACCATCATCACCTCGGTAGTTGCTGCGGCGCCGACATGCACTGCTCGTGGCGTCAATCTCGTCAACAATCCCGGCTTCGAGTATGGCATGGCAGCTTGGTCTCAGTCCCAGTACGGCGCCAACGGACCAATCGCATGGGGAGTGGGCCCTAACGGCCCAAGCGGTGGTTCTTCCTACAGCGTGACAGGAGGCAATTCAGGCACCGGCACTCTTCTGAACCAAAAAATCTACGGTCTAACCAGGGGCGTTACATACACCTTCTCGTACAAATACTTCGCCACGGCCTCCCCAGCTGGCTCTATCAGCTGCTATATGATCGGCACAGGACTGAGCTCGCAGAGCGGCACTGAACGTACCAACTCGTGGATCTCAGGACCAACCTACTATGGAGGTACTTTTGTGGCCCAGTCGACCTTTGGGGAGTTGGAGTGCTTGTTCAATTCGCGCGGTGCGATGACTTGGCGCATTGATGATTTCTTCTTGGGGTGCTAGAGACGTAACAGTGTACCGACAGGGAGCTTAGAAGGGCAGGAAAGCCTAGGTACAATCCTGAATCCTTGATTCATTTCTTATCATCAATCCGTTGCAATCCTTCTTTAGGGCTTCTTGAGTATGACCGATGTGATGGATGTGGCAGCACAACAGTATAAGCACAGCACAGAGTGGAAACCATGTACATAATAATTGCAAAGTGAATACATTTCTAACTACCTTCTTCACTAGTCCCGTGTTCTTCATTCGTTACCATTTGGTCCTAGTTCGCTTCTCCATATCGAACACGCGCGCTGATGTATGTGAGAATCATCTAAAGTTATTGCAAGCCCTCCACCTTGAACTTCGTAGCAAAGACATGAATACGATTTTTATCACCAACATCGCAATGTACATTTTTTGCTGAATACCGCAATCCGGACGATGCGATCGTACACAACACCTCGGTACATGTCAGCGCACATAAAGCCATCGACCAGAGTCTAGCACAAGAGCGAGAAAGTATCGTGCACAACCAGCTCAAAGACTTTCGCTGCGGAGAAGGCTATCCAGGCTAGTGCGATTATGACCTGGGAGCTAGGTGACCAGTGCCAAGCATGTTGGCTATTGACATATTCCAGTGGAGAAAGTAAGGCGTTGAAGAGGCTCTACAAGCATACTATCTGGCGAAGCGTGCAGAAACACAGTTTCAAAAAGCTGCGAGAACCAAGTCGTCTCTTGCGATATGAAATGTGGTGATGCTGATGGGGGCACATGGGGACATATGTTGTAAACTGGTGGCGCTGACGAAGACAGAGCATTCATAATCGGTGGTATGAGAAACAAATGATGGAATTCAATACGTATCTATCTATGTAAATTTAACATTTCGATTGGTCAAACTTTTGCGCAGTATCTGCAGTACCATTCTTGATACAAAGAACGGACGGTGAAAGAAGATGTAAGACGGTAACCGATACAAAGAAGTGAGCGAATATTATAAGGTGATATGAAACGTTCGACCAAATTCTTATCCTGATTGAACCAGGAGAAGATCAAGGGTAGCGGCCGTGATGGATTGTTGGCCGTTTCGTCGTCGATGTATGTCTATGTTCGAATGCCGCGCCTCTGACGTTGGAAAAGTGTGTGTCGTACAAGACGCTGTTGTTAGCGAGCGCGTAACGCGTATCACGTGATTACGCATATGCCGATTCGGTCCCCGCTTGTTCATGTGCCCATGGTTGAGGTCGCTCCACCATCATACCTGGGTATGGTCGAGGAGAACTGTCAGGCGTAGGCAGCATCGGCCCAGTAGGAATCGGAGGGCGAGGAGGTGACTTGGCGAAGAACTGCTCGAGCGTCTCGCCTCTCTCCAGAGCCTGGACCTGGCCTTGTCGGAATTCTTCCAGTACGGCTGACTCCACAGGTTTCGGGTCGAAGTACGTGTATGTTCTTGTGCCTTTGAGACCCGGAAGACCAGGCGCCTTGTACTCCGCAACGCCGTCCTCATATGTCTCATATGTAGAGACAAGACGCTTGCCACCACCTCCAGGAAGGTCGATGACGAAGGACGGCATCATGAAGCCGGACAAAGTTCCTCGGAGTTCCTTGTCGAGGTCGATGATCTTGCTGAGGGGTGTTCGGAGATCTTCGATACCCTGCACCATATCACACTGGTAGACGTAGTACGGTTGTATGTTGATGTTGGAGAGCTTCTTGATGAGGTCTGACAGCGGCGCGAAGTCGTCGTTGACGCCTTTCAAGAGGACAGACTGGTTGCGCACGATAACACCATGCTTGAAAAGCTTGTTCGCAGCAAGCTCTGTTATCCACGTGATCTCGTTGGCGTGGTTGATGTGGGTATGAAGGCAGACTTGCTTGCCCATGCTGAAAGTTGCGCAGTTGTATTAGCCTCATTACATATAGGTGGTAGATGAATGACTTACTCTCGACCTTTGTTAGATACTTCAATCAAGCTGTCGACCCATGGATCACTATCATCAAGTATGCGACCAGGAGCTACGGCCAGGCCCTTCGAAGCAAATCGGACCCGTTTGATATGGGGGATGTTGAGTAGTCTTTCTCCAATCTCTTTGATGTGATCGGGTTGCAAAAAGTAGGCGTCGCCGCCGGAAACAATAATATCTTCGAGCGACTCGTCGTTGGCGATATGGTCAAAGATGACTTCCCATCGCTTGCGGCTGGGCTTTTGGGGTTTCTTCGATACGGTATCGGTGTTCCCTCCAACTGCGTAGGATCGAGTGCAGAACCGACAGTACACAGGGCAGATCGATGTGGCCAGGAACAAAGCTCTTCCAGGATACCGGTGGACCAACCCGGGGACAGGACTGTCTGCTTCTTCGTGCAATGAGTCCAGCTCCATGTTCTTGTGATCGGGGATGATGCCGCTTCTAAGTGGGAGAAATTGTCGCCGGATAGGATCATCCACAGCGTTTTGCCAATCAACAAGCGAGAGTACGTGTGGTGTTAGGCGGATGGCCATGGGTGCCAGCTTGATAGCAGCGATCTGTATTCACATCAGCATTAATTTGTGTATAGGGTAATGCGGACTGATGAGTTACGCACAGCATCCTCGATGAAATCGTTCTTTGTACGAATCTTCCGGAGTTGATCATGCTGCGAGCGCAGTAATGTGTCGGGCAAAGCTGTGTTGAGGAACTGATAGAGCTTGTGCTTATCGGAGACGGTATTGCGAAGCTAAGAAAGTCAGTTTTGTATCGAACCGTGTATTATGGGGATCCAGAGAGATTTGTATCGACGTACCTGCCATCTATAAGATATGAATTCATCTGCGGAGACGTCCTTCCATGGTTGGATATGATCCCAGTAGGGCTTCTGAGCGGCCAAGGTCGATTGAGTTCTGTGATGCGATAGCAGACGTGCTGCGTGAGCGAAACCCGACCGGGAAGAATGTCTCCCAGCCATGGTGCTTGGAACAAACATGCTTGGGTACATGTCAGTAGGTGAATGCCACAAGAAGGAGCGATGTAAGAAGGAGCGATGTGGGAAGAAGGGCTGGGACGAAACCAAAGCTAGAAATAAATTTTCAAGAGTAGGGAACGTGTTTATCGAGCGCGTCACACCCGTTGCACAACCCGGTGGAAGGAGCTGTCGCTCGCCTCGTCGTCTAGGTAGGAGCGATGTAGATGCTGTGCTACGACAGCAGCAAGAGCAACCGCTAAAGTGGGTCTTTTGCAATCTCAAAGAATTGGGCAGGCACGCTCGACTATCGCCAAGTTCAATTCGTTATCGGATGCAGGAGATCTCTAGGATGTGTTTGGGCCTGGAGTTTGCTGAGGGCCATCCTTCATGACCTGTTCGGGTGCAGCGCTACAGCGATTTAACGAATTCGGTGACATGTGGGTGAGGAGAAGTAACTGGCCATGGTCCGCATGGTGTGTATAGGGGTTATAGTGACAGAAACGCCCAGTGGAGAAAACATAGCACGGCGCCAGCTCCAGAAAAATGGTGAAATGGCACTGGCAGGGCATTCGTATCACAATATCGCTTGATACAGATTTCCCATGCGGCGGCCATCAGGGTCCCAGGATCAATCAGATAACTTTGAGTAATAGCTGGTAGGCAGGCGAGGATGCGTATCGAAAAGGGGCTTACGAAGCACAGTAGTCCATCCTGTACTGGCTGGAACTGGGGACCGACATGCAAGAAAACCGCAGGTCTACAAGGATCGCTTCCATATCTCCTCCCATGGGCCCGATCCTCGGGTCAAGCCAGAGGCCCGGAAGCTGCAAGCGGCATGCATGTTAGTGGTACAGCAGGCGAATACTGCATTAGCTTTCCTCGTATGTTGAGTGGACATAGAACTTGCATCCGCGGAATCCTTTGGGCTGCCATGTTCGTAAGAAAGTCGTAAGCTCAAGCGACTCCACCAGAGGCAGGAGTGCTGGCCAGCCTAATCGGTCAAAGACGACCGGCAAATGGACATCACACGGCCCGTACCGCGCGTGTGACGGGCGATAGTGACCCAGGCTATCGGGATGGCAAACTTCGCAATAGTGCTGCGATCGAGTGAGAGGTTAGCAAACGTCGGGAGTGGCAAGGAGACGCTCGGCATGTCGCCGTTCATGTGAAGAGGTGCAGATAGTGCCAGTGCTAGCGGGGAGATTCCGACGTTCCGTCGCGCCTTCCGCTAGTTTCGTGCCAAGCCATGACCTCAGCCCCTCCAAACAATAGTGAGGGCTGCGATCACGATTGATAACTACCGCGACAGCTCAACTCTCTACATCACCCCACCGCTGCCATGGCTGATTCTCCCGCTTCCGCGACTAGCGCGCTGCCCGGCGAGTCGCCCGCCCAGACCAAGGCCAGACTGCGCAGAGAGCGGCTGGCTGCCAAATCCGGCGCCTCACGTCTCCAGCAGATTACTGCTCTCCAGGGCGGCCCACCAAAGCCGCTCAGCGAACTCGAGAAAGACGTGCCAGGTAACGGCTCCTCCCTTTCGAATACATTAGCCTCCACATAGTCCCCCTAGCTCCGTCCTACAACAGCGTGAATGCACGGCTAATGGCATTCTAGTCAAACCCGCTTCCACCCCGTCCCAGTTTACACCCGCTGGGTCTGGCACGGCTACTCCAGATCCAGATGAGGTGGATATTTCGCAACACCACTACGCGCCGGCATCGCAGCCTCGTCTCCCCTCGCCATTCGCTTTCGAGGGTGGCCAGTCCGGCCCATTCGGCCCCGGCCCAGGCACGGATGCATCGCAGGATCCCATGATGGCCATGCTCCAGCAGATGATGGGCGCAGGCGCTGGCGGTATGCCTGGCATGCCCGGTGCCCCAGGTCAAGGCGGCGCACCACCAGGCGGCATGCCACCCGATCTTGCCAGTATGTTCTCGGCCATGCAGGGTGGTGCCGGTGCCTCCGAACCGCTGCCAGAGCAATCCTCTGCGTGGATCTGGCGCTTGGTACACTCTGTCTTCTCGTTTGGCCTCGCCGTCTACATTGTCCTGCAAACACCATTTACTGGATCCAAGATG